TAATAGTATTAGCCTTTTACAATCAGAAAGTATTTTGACCCACTTTTGAGATATGGTGTCCGAAAAGTAGGTCAAAATAAAAAAATCTCAAAATTTAAAGTATGAGTTATGAATTAGGTGTAGAATTTTGTCAGGAATCCGAATCTGCAATTCAAATTTCGATCCGACTTCCGGTTCGGAAGTTATGGCGTGTCCAAAAAGTAGGTCAAAATAAAAAGTTTCTAAATTTAACGTATGAGTTTTGAATCAGGGGTAGAATTTTGTCAGGAATCCGAATCTGCAAACCAAATTTGGATCTGACTGCCGGTTTGGAAGTTATGGCGTTTTGAAACCGATCTGATGGTATCCTGATAGAAAGTCAAGAGTAGAGAAGAAAATATTGAAAAATTCATCCATCCTTCCTATCTGATCCTATCCTTCCTATCTATCCTTCCTTCGTATCTTTTCCTTCCTATCCTATCCTATCATATCCTTTCTTCTTATTCTATCCTATCCTTCTTTCTTATTCTATCCTATCGTTCCTTCCTATTCTATCCTATCCTACCTTCCTATTTTATTCATCCATCTTTTTTTGGATGACTCAGCTTATTCTGGATGACTCGGCTTATTCTGGATGACTTGGCTAAAAAAGGTCATAATCTGGAGTCTGAAATTGAACTTGCTCAATTTCCAAAGTCTAGTTATTATTATTGTGGCAATCCATATTGTATCATTTAAGCAGATATCTTGTAGCAATTCATATTGTATCATTTAAGCAGATAAATTGTAGCAATCCATATTGTATCATTTAGCGGATATATTATAGCAATCCATATTGTATCATTTAAGCAGATAAATTGTAGCAATCCATATTGTATCATTTAAGCAGATAAATTGTAGCAATCCATATTGTATCATTTAAGTAGATATATTGTAGCAATCCATATTGTATCATTTAAGCAGATAAATTGTAGCAATCCATATTGTATCATTTAAGCAGATATATATTATCATATATCAGATGTACGGTTGGCCCTAAAAGGGCATCAGTACTAATAATATCCTATTATACATAATGATATATTGTAGCAATCCATATTGTATCATTTAGCAGATATATATTATCATATATCAGATGTACGGTTGGCCCTAAAAGGGCATCAGTACTAATAATATCCTATTATACATAATGATAAATTGTAGCAATCCATATTGTTACAACTACTAAACAGCAACTCCAGAGTAGCAAATCCAACCAAACATATTTTAATAAACATATTGTGCTATGATTTTGAACATTACATGGTAGAAATAAGGAACTAAGAAAACATCTCAAAGTTCAATGTTGTATTCCTAACTGTATTTGAACAGTTCATATGTGACCACCCTCCCTCCCCATCATAATTGTGTTTGAGAAATGTTGATCTGCATTATTTCATTGGTCACACTATATCTAACACAATATGTAATGCAGTCAATTATTCAATGTTGGAAAGATAACTTTTAAGGTTAAAGGTTGTATATAACTATGAAAGAGTTTTTGACACCTTTTCAAAGCCTTAATTCAGCATGTTGCCATGTATGTATAATACTTTTCATTACATTTAGAGTAGATATTCATCTTTCATTCCATATGAAGAAAATGTAAATTCAAAAAATATTGACGGAGTGGGAGCTGTTACAATGACCTCTACTTTTAGCAATTTTCAGAACATTTCGTCCAGTGTATTTAACGAGGGGCCCACCTTAAAGGGATAATAAGCTCACAAAGTAAGTATAATTCATTGAAATATTAAGTATATCATTAAAAAGATTAGTTGGGTTACATATGTCCTCGATAGATGCATAAACAAACATATTCATTTCAATTTGGAGATATCAACTCTGGCTCAGAATTGTGTTAGTTGCCATATTGCCTTCTTTATTGTACTGTGCATGCGTGCATAATTAATGAGTGACGTCACATCGACAGAGATCAAGGATCAAGTTTGACTATGAGAAAAAAAGAAATCTGGTAAAATAAAATTAAAAGATCCAAACATAACAGCCGAACAATCATGTCAATGATCACTATTTCACATCAAATCAATGTAAGATGTGAGGTTTAACATTTTTCATGTTATTTGATACTTACATAAGCATAGCTTGTAAAGAAACCAGGTTATTAAACTCCGATTTTGACTTGACAAAATATATGAAAAGAAAGAAAGGGGTGACTTGTTAGAAACAATGACATGAAATTAAGAATTGAAAAAACTGGGTTTTATTTTTTGAGAGTTCATCATTTTTACACTTCAGTGTATTAATTTTAAAAGGTAATACTTCTCAATTGAACTCAGGAAAAGAAAAACTGATTGAAAAATTCACGAAAACATAGGCCGGAAGTTGCCAAAGTAATTGAGCAGAATTGAAGATGGGCTTCCCTTTTTTCAAATATTGCTGTTAACATCAAAATTCATCCTATATATGGTAAGAAATCATTAAAATACAGTAAAAAGACATACACAGTACATAAATGACTGGATGTAAAGTGGTAATATGCCACTATTATCAATAGTATAGTTTCCATATAGCTTTTGAAATCTCGCTAAATCTAGTTTTTCGTGAGATTTTAAGAGACTTGCATATTAGACCTCTAATGACTTACATTACCTTCTTTTAAATGGCATATTTGAATTCAGTCAAATGTTTTCTCCTATAATAGCTTTGATTTACACAGTTATGTAATTTGAATAATTTTCTATGACAATTTAAAAAAAACTTGGGCCAAATATCCATAGATGCAATGCTAAAATTCTTTAAAACCTTGGATTATTTGTATGTCAATCAACATTTACATGTTTAATCACAACATGTACATAAACAGGGTCATCATGAAGTATATCATTCAAGTTTTATACAGATTCAAATAACACTTTGATAAATCATGAAATGAAGCCACTTTTCCAAGATTTTAGCATGTAAGTGAATGGAACTCTAGCTCAAATTAAAAGCTGAATAAAAGATGGCAGCACAAGATTTCATTGATTTTTCTGCTATTTAGAAACTATCCTATTAATAAGTCATTGAACATCATAAATTAACCAACAATCTCTGATGTTTTTTTCATTAAAAGTCTCTTCAAGTTCGGGGGTCAAACTGTGACACTATTTTGTATTTATCGGCTTATTAAAGCTGTATTACACTACCAAAACTATTTGAATTTTGTCTGGAATGAATGAATATGTTTAAATAAAGCGAGTTAGTCAATTATTGAGTTTGTCAAAATATGTTGTGGGGCATATTTTACCATCTTTTGGGTTACAATATAGCGACCAACGTCGATATGACGTCACACTTCCGGTGGCCTTGATGCAAAATGGCTATCTTCATCAACTATGTCAGTGGGTCAATTGATACTATTATTTTAAATATGATCACTTAACCTAATATATTTTTTAAAAAGTTTTAGTTTTATTTCATCAATTACACATAAAGCTACATATTGAGATGAACAGAGCGCCAACCATTAGTTCTGCTTTAAATCAAATACAATAACATTTCCGTTTTTGGGCTTATTACTTGAAAGCATAATGCATTTTTATTATCATATATTAATATTAAATATGACGAATCGATTGCAATATGATAGAACGTTTATTATACCCTAGTTAGGGTTCATTTTGAACATTTCATTATAAATGTAAAATAATTTGGGGAATCCATTAAGAGTTGGGAGGTTTCTCCAAATATATCGTCGTTACGGAAATGACGTCATATTACATTGGATTTCCACAAAAGCGGGCTGCGAGTATTACGTCATCAATATATGTTGGATGATATGACGACATTCATTGTGACATTTGTTTTGGAGGATTCCTGACAACGGCCAAACACTTTCACTTTCGTCATTAGGGCACCTTGACATACTTGAAAATTGAAAGTGCATTTATTAGATTTAGTTAATTAATAGGAATCAAATTGATGATTATCCTCAAAAAGTCATTTTTAACGTTTTCTAAGGCCTAGATAGTTATATACATCCTTTAATAACCCCCTCCTCCCTAACTGTTCAATTAAATTAAATTTTCTGGCATTGATCTTTTGAAATGCTCCCTGACCAGAAAATAAATGAGCAATATTGTCTCCTTTTGGCAAATTCTACACTCATGACATGATGGGAAGCCATGTATCAAATTCATTCTTCAGCAAAGGTCTAATAACCATGAAGCATTAAATTGCACCTAATCCTTTAACTGGTATTCAAAGCTGGGTTTTTTTATGAAAATTTGAATCAAATTCGTCAAATCAGGGTACCAAAGATTTTATCTTTTTATGAAATATGGCTGTCATTTTGAATTGAATGGTCATCTTGAAAATTACTTTGTAAATAGAGTTTATATGACCCTCAGGCATCAGTATATAAAATTTGAACCAAAATATCAAAATTATTTATGAAACATTTTGAAAGGCAGTAGCCATCTTGAAAAATTCTTCTTGACTTCCTTTGTCCCTAGTCTGTAGGCATCATAAAAATCCTTCTGCTGAAGTTGAGTTATCAAAGATTACAATTTTTACAAAAATGGCAGCTATTTTGAAATTCAGGAGCCATCTTGAAAATTTCTTCTTGGGCATGGCTCTTTTGTCTCTAGGTACCGACATGTAAAATACGAGTCACATCCATCAACTGATATTTGAGTTATCAAAGATTACATCTTTTATGAAAAATGGCAGCCTTTTGGAACTGAGCAGCCATATTGAAAATTCCTTCTCGAGCATAAGATTGTGCAATATTGAATCAAAGATTGATGATTTGAGATTACAAATCGATAAAAGGATAAAAGTTATGCAACTAATAATTGATAGAGGAATATTTCTCAAAAGTAGGTAAATAAAAAAGCGACAAGCACTTTTTATTATCAAAATGATCAGGTAAAATTTACTTACCAGGTTACATTATTATTGATCTCACCAGGTCACATTTTCTATTAAACCTCCTAGGTAACATTTATTATTAAACTCAAAAGTAAAATTTTACTTACCAGGTAACATTCTGATCTTCAATGTCTGGGTGGGGAACTCTAGTCCAGCAATCTTTACTTCTAGTGTGAAATTCTACAACAGGTTATTGGTAAAGTAGAATCAGAATTTGAGAAACTGAGTTAATTTATTCATTTATGACCTTTTTTATTTCTTATTTTTAAGAGGGAATACCTGACTGATACTAGAGTTATCATATCATTCAATAATAATCAACCTGTGATTCATTATATTCAATAATAATAATGTTATGATTTTTGTTCTTTGATCATGCTTAGAAACTTCAATTTAGTGACACCATGTAATAATACGATAATGCCATATGCTATTATGTTCAATGTGATGTACCGTAAAACCTGTTCAATTCCAAAATGGCTGTTAAACATTCAGATTAGCAGGTTTTCACATATCCAAGTTTCTTAATTTGTAAATCAATAGAGGGTAATAAATTGGGACCAAAGAAAGTGTTCACATTTGATCAGATTAGAGATTTTACTGTAATACATAAAGTCTTACCTTGCCAGTGTTAGTTGGTACACTGCCTATTGCCACAATGCCTTTGAGCACCAGGTTGTTGCCTTTCATTGCACAGCTCTCATAGTTTAGTTCAAGACCACTACAAACAAGAGAAAAAGACAATGAGTCAATGGGAAATAGTAATATGTTATTGTTGTTTCTTTCTTGAGTATTTCACCATATGTATTTTAATGGTAAATCCTGGCTTCTGATGTCAAAATACAAAGCCACAGAATATGATTAATAAAAAAACACATGAAATCATTCCATTATTAGACACTTTATTTTTAATGTGTGCCTAGTGGGATTGCCCGATGCTTTTTATAATTAATTAATAGCATATATATATACCTATTCAAAATCGATTGTACAAACTAAATAATTGCCTTTGTTTACAACATTATGTGGAATTTTGAAAATAATAAAGAAATGGAATACTCTGAAAAAAACATACTGTTTGTTGTTCTGTTATGTAGTTACTGTTTTAAGTCCATAATGATACTGATTTTAACAATCATTGGATAATTTCACCTTGGCCAGACGTAAGTCTAGTTGAAACTGAGGCTCAGAGACTAGAAATGATAAACACACTCCGACTAGAATAGACAAATTAATAGTTTTAATGTCAAGAGCTTAATGACCCAAAATATAGCTGTAATTGCATTTCAAGGAAGTTTGAATGTGAAATAAATACAACCTGTACATAAAGGCACAAAACAACAATATATACATGGCGTTCATAAAGTTCTTGCAAAAGTACTCAAACATTTTTGTTTCTCGGTCGGAAAAATTTCAGTCAGATTGACCGAGAAACTAAAATAAAACACACGGTGAACAATATCGCACCCTTGAACAGAAATGGCCGTCTTAACATTTATCCAGAATGTAGAAAAACTAATCAGTTCTAAACTTTCATAGGTAGAAACATCCCTGAGAGAAACATCCCTGAGAATATCAAATGAATCCTTCAAACAGTTTGGCTGGAAACCTGTAGACAAGCCTTGACAGACAAGATTTTAGGACGGAAAATCCAAAATGGCTGCCTTATCATTTACCCAGAATGCCGAAAAACTAATCAGTTCTAAACTTTCAGAGGTAGAAACATCCCTGAGCATTTCAAATGAATCCCTCAAACGGTTTGGCTTGAAACCTGTAGACAAGCCTTGACAGACAAGATTTTAGGACGGAAAATCCAAAATGACTGCCTTAACATTTACCCAGAATGACGAAAAACTAATCAGTTCTAAACTTTCATAGGTAGAAACATCCCTGAGAATTTCAAATGAATCCCTCAAACGGTTTGGCTGGAAACCTGTAGACAAGCCTTGACAGACAAAGATTTTAGGACGGAAAATCCAAAATGGCTGCCTTAACATTTACCCAGAATGCCGAAAAACTAATCAGTTCTAAACTTTCATAGGTAGCAACATCCCTGAGAATTTCAAATGAATCCCTCAAACAGTTTGGCTGGAAACCTGTAGACAAGCCTTGACAGACAAGATTTTAGGATGGAAAATCCAAAATGGCCGCCTTAACATTTACCCAGAATGCCGAAAAACTAACCAGTTCTAAACTTTGATAGGTAGAAACATCCCTGAGAATTTCAAATGAATCCCTCAAACGGTTTGGCTGGAAACCTGTAGATTAACATTTACCCAGAATGCCGAAAAACTAATCAGTTCTAAACTTTCATAGGTAGAAACATCCCTGAGAATTTCAAATGAATCCCTCAAACGGTTTGGCTGGAAACCTTTAGACAAGCCTTGACAGACAAGATTTTAGGACGGAAAAATCCAAAATGGCCGCCTTAACATTTACCCAGAATGCCGAAAAACTAATCAGTTCTAAACTTTCATAGGTAGAAACATCCCTGAGAATTTCAAATGAATCCCTCAACAGTTTGGCTGGAAACCTGTAGACAAGATTATTCGGGATGCCCGCCCGCCCGGCAAACTGATTACAATATAGCACCTTAGGGTGCGATAAAAATTTCAGTCAGTTTGACCGAGAAACTGAAAAAATTTCAGTCAGATTGACCGAGAAACTAAAATATTAGATGACTTTTGCAAGAACTTTATGAACACTCTGTATATGAGTTTTATCATACCTAGCCTCTAGTTCTGGTTTAAACTTTGTACTTGGTTTTGTGGCATTGTTAAACTCATCTTGAAACTCTAAAGGGATTTGGAAGGGAGAGCCTATCCTAAATGGGCCATCCAGGAGTCCAACTACAAACTTCTCAGGCTCTGCCTCTGTAAGTACAAGTATAAGCAGATAACTAAATCAGATAAGACTCTCTATTTGAGCGGTACTTTTTTTATAGAGTACAACTAAGGCCAATAAATTTATTTCAAGGTTTACATATTGCCTAAACTTAAAATAGAGATTTTGAAAGTCCATAAGGGAAGGTCTGTGGTCTAGCAAAGCATTTAGAAATGCAGTACGTGTAAAGGTTCAAACCATACGCAACAGAAGCTTACCAGTGACTGAGAACTTTATCCTGTGTGACGGCAGTTCTCTTCCTGCAAACATGTTAGCTCCACTCTCATTTAACACTGCCTGCAGTATTAAAGTGTGGCTACCCAAGTTCTTCACATTCTCTACAAGTATCAATGGAGTATATACAGTAAAATCTATCTAATGAAACACAACTGGGACATGCTGAAAGCATGAGGTGTTCAGACTTAGAAAGGTGATCAGATATACAGGTTTTAATGTAAATCTAATAGAACAACAATGAATGAATACATAACATGCAAAGATTACAATATACAATGTATAAGGCAGGTTTAGTGCCATTGATCCAAGACTCTGACCTCAGGTTATAAATTCTTATGATGCACCCTGAGTGGGAATTAATTATTCTTATCTATGATTCGAGTTATCTGCCTATTCTTACCCATTTTCCTGAACCAATAGGGCCAAGTCTTGCCATGCTGGCTTATGTGCTGCACAATCTGCTCATCCCCATTGTTGGCTACAATATTACAATATAATCATTAGCATGTAACAACAATTTTAAATGTGATTGGGAGACAAAAAAGCATGTTCAATAAACACTGATACAAATGTTCTCATTTTCTTATTTGGCTACAATATCTGATAAACCTTATAGTACAGGCTAGGTACATTCCAGTGAGGCCTCTTTCTATGACATACCCCCGCACCCGGTATAACAAGACGTATGTGGTACCATTTTGTTCGGTATGATGTGAAGTTTTCAGAAACCAATTTTGACATTTTCAAATATGGGTCGGGTTCCAGATAATTAGCATAATGTTACATAATTTATTGTTTTCTATGTTTTATATTTTCAAGGTTTAAAACAGCTATGGTTAGGTACTTATCAAAGTATAACAACAGATAATGGTGGTAATGCTTTCAGAAAAAATTGATGACAAAATTTAAAAGAAATTTATAATCAATATTAATCATAATTATGTAATTATTATGTAATAATGTTAAAAAAGTGAAATTAGACGTTGCAAGACATGCTTTAATGCAATAAACTGGTTTAACTTCAACAAATACAAAAAAAAATGTATAAAAGGATGTAATAGCACAATTTTATTTTCACAATTTGTAAACATAATTAATATAATATGAGGATATAATATTATGTAATATATACAGACTTATAGATTTTCAGCATCTATTTGACATACAGTAACCGTTTTATCAGAGTCACTATGCAGAACTTATGGCCATCCAGATAGGATGGTCTTGCTGAATGCATTCAACAAAAGGTTATTTGTAGCTAGTTTATTTAATACTTTGTTATCCCACCAAACGGAGTTTGAGGAATATAGAAAAGCCACTCATCCGTCCGTAAGTGTGTTTAGGTGAATCATGTGATTTTGTTAAGTTTAAAGATTTTACTTGGTCAATCCAAATTGGAATTTTGCTCGATTCTTTTCTCAATTTACATTAAAGATACACCATTATCATATGCCATTGAGTGGAAAACTAGTCTGGTATCGCATTCCTAAATCCGTACTGGAGAAAGAAACGTATCATAGTAAACTAAATTTAGTAATTTACCATAATAAACATGCATGTATGTTTTCAGAAAAAATATCCTAATATACTGTTGTTGAATAGAGGTAAATTCAAATAATTACTAAAATATAATTTTAATTCAGGTAAAATGAAAAATTTTTGGAACGATACTAATTCAGGATGGTTGCAGGGGTTGAACTCTGTAATCATTGAACAAAACATATTGCAACCATTTACATTTCAATGTAAAATGGTTGCAGTTTACAATGGTTGTAGATTACAATGATTGTAAAGAAACGGTTGCGCAGTCGTTGAAAAAGAGTTGACTTCACTTGGTTGAACGCAATGGTTGGACAATGATTGCTTATCATTGTACAATGGTTTTTCCTTTGATCTTTAGTAGTTGAAACAATCAGTATTCAATGATTGATAGAAACGGTTTAAATTCAGAATTTCAAGGTTGAATTTTTTATTAGGGATTACTTAAATACCGATTGACATATTTGATTCAAATTTTATAGGCTTATGCCTTATGGGTGTAGGACCTCTGCTGGAGAAGGAATTATCAATATGACTCCTCAATTTAAAATGGCCACCTTTTTTTGTAAAAATACAAAAAATCTCAGTGGTATTGAGAAACCTGGAAATATTGGTTTTATTAGTGGATGCTGCAATCAATAACTTTGATCAAAAACGAAGACACTATTGATGGGAAGGGATCAACACATTCTATGGCCATGGTCTTGTATAAATGATCAGAAAATAATAATGATAACAAGGTGCCGAAGAGAAAAACAAACATGACTTCTCTGGAAGACACAGATATGTAACTATAAAAACCAAAGGTTGTTGAGTTAAACCAAAAGTGACACCAACACCGAATCCCATTTCATCAAAAGAAAATATAGAAATGATGACAACCTCCAGTTTTTACCACAGTACAATCAAATCTGACCTAATGTGGAGACTTGTGAGGCATATGAGACAATCAGAAGGCCCAAAAAGGCCATTTACAGGGTGGTAAAAAAAACTTACGCCATTTTCCTCATATCTTTGTCATTTTAAGAACTGATATTTTACACATTTGTACATACAGTAATTCAATTTTCTACCAGCCTACTATATTTCATGACCACCAGATTGATAGTCACAATGTTACAGCACTTTAAAGAACATACCCCAGTGGCCACTATTGTGCTTTCAGCAAACCTGCACATGTAGTCCAAAATGTCCCTACTTGTGGGGGGGATACGGCAAAGATAGAGTGTATTAGAATGACCTTAGGACAATTGCAGACCTCAAAAGTGAGATCATTCGTGTCATTCAGGCCATATCTGCTGAAGAATGCATTCGGATCATTGACAATTGTGCAGGTTTGACTACAGCGTGATAATGCCCAAACCTGAAGCATGTTGTTTAAAGTGCTGTAAAATTGTGACTATTGGTCTGATGGTCATGAAATATGGTAGGGTCGTATAATAGTGAATGATGTACAAATGTGTGAAATATGAGGGAGTAATATTTTAAAATGACAAAGATATAAGGAAAATGCAGGGTTTCCATTTTTTGACCACCCTGTACAACAAAGCACAAAAGATTCTATTCAACCAACCAGGGAGGTGGTAAAGTCACATTGTCACATCGCCAGTGACTATGCAGAATCTGTTAGAAATTTGTACATTCAACACAACTCAAAAACCTCATGAAGAATGCCAACCAAAGCAAGACGAAAAGGATGAAGATGATGTGCTCAAGATATGTAGTCTTGTAGGCCCAAATTATAGTTGATTTCTAAGGAATGGTAAAATAGGGCAAATCTTGCTCATTTCTAACAAAATGTGCAAGTCGGCGGTGCAAAATGCGACAAAAAATAAAAAGTGATGAATCAATCATCTTAGCTGGAAGTTTTCAAAGAAGAAGGCTAATGACCATAACAGCAACTGGCTCTTACAGTGCAGAGTATATGGAGCACATCCCCAATGTCAAATCTGGACATAGTGCTCACATAGCAAAGCCCAAACTTTGGAAACCAGAAGGCACCGAATGCTACTTTTTTGATGGAAGTCTGGTTCCTAAGATGATTTTGAGAGCATCTGCCCCTATTGAATTAAGGGATCTTACCAAAATCTATTGTAAAGATGGATTTCGCACTAATCAGGCTTGTAGATGCCTTTTTTTCAGGATTATTGTGCATGTCTATCTGTTCCTGTGAGGTGGGTAATTGCCAAAACACAATGATGGTGGAGGAAAAACCATATCCAGATGTTTAGAATAAAGATGTATGAAATAATCACATCTTCATATTATATAATGATTCTATTGAAAGATGTAAGTCCTTATATGTAAAAACTTGATATTTATCATGTTTAAAATTATCATAACAGTTACCTGATTTTTATATGCATGAATATTTGGATAAGTATACTAGTATCTGAATAAATGTTTAATGATATTATCATTGTGTCTTAATACACAATGTTATTTGCTGCTACATATGCATGACATATAATGTTTACAATAAGATTAAGTCTTTTTATGAAGGTTTGTACTCATAATAAGATATTATTGCTTGAATTAGTTTAGCACACGAGGTTTATATCATTTAGAACAAAAATTCTGTTATCGAAAGCAATTCAAATTGTAATTTTACTCATAAAACAATGGAAATTATGTAATAATTACATAATTCTAAGTCCAAACTATTTTTGATAATTATAAAAATTTATTTTAAAGTATATACACAATTAATATTTGCTTAGCTCATGATTTCTTTTTATCATTTCCTCTAAAAATGCTTTACAAAAAATGCTATGTCATAATAATAGATTACATAACATTATGTCATATTTATCGAATCTGACCCATATTTCAATCTGTCAAAATTGGTTTTTGTAATGTACTCAACAAGACGAACAATTTGATACCCATGACGACTTGTTATACTGGGTGCGGGGGTCAAGTTGATATTTGGCTCATAGGTAGCCTGCACTATTAGCACAAAACATTAATTTCAAAATTAGATGGGCAACAACAATACATGTTATAACTACAAGGAATGACAATAAAATGTGATAGGGGTGTATTAGGCAAGACAAACCACAAGCAAGACAAATTTATCACATTTGTCTCTCTAATAAATAAAATAAAAGTTAATTTGTTTAACTATTCTGAGTCACCCACAAAGGCCAACAAGGTATAATATAAACCATGTGGGGCAACCAGTTTATTTCATAATCTGTTATTACATAGATGCAAATGGATGTCTGTTTGCCAAGTGATTCATTTACCAACCAACATATCAAATGTTACCAAAGAACAGAACCTACAGTGCCATATGACTTTGAGCTCCATCAGAAGACGCTTGGCCTGTCCAGCAGTGCCTGGTAGCTTACTGATCAACTCTCCCTTCCTATTGGCTATCTCTACCTTGATGTCACCAACTGTACGACCTGCTGCACGTTTCTCCCCATGTTTAACTTCATTGCCCTCTGGCCAAGTAACTAACAGTTTGGACGGTAATCTGAAAAGATGTCATAGTAACATTATAAAAGAGATCGAGTCATCCAAATTTCTTTTCTGGACAATCAGTAATGTCCTAATATAATTGCTCATATACATCACATATACCTTAGACATATCTTGAGACAAAATCATAAGCACGATATCGATAATATATTGAGGATATCAACAGGACAACCAAAAGAACAACCAACTGTCAGAATTGAACGCAATAAGTCGAAAACAGAATACAATGTTCTTGGGGGATTTATCTATATTGTAACCCCTTAGAAGTAATAAATATGGCTTCTCTAAGCCAAAATAATCTGAAGGAAAAAGCCAATCAGACTGGAACAAATTTGAGCGGGCTTTTTAAATTTCAATTTTAATTTCTATTGATGTAAGTGGAAATTCATGGCTAGGAACAATCATCCAATTGATACTGTTGACGAATTAATTCAAGCCTCAGAATTGATAAGTTGATAAACAAACTTGTTTTACATCAAATAACATGAAAAAATCAGGGGGTTACTCCAATTGTGTTTTTAGGAGACTCGATCTCTTAAACATTAATATTACCATAATATTATCATAATAACACTTTTTAATTTGGTTTCTTGATTTAACCAGAACAACGGCAACGCCAAAGCGTAGCGAATCCCATTGAACAGAAATGGCTGGCATTTTTACAAACGAAATATATAGCAAATATCATAAAACAACACACCAGAAAGGCCACCATTTTCAAAATGGTTGCTCACTAGCCAAGTTGTCATCAGAAGAAATAATATGCTTTTAAGAAGCCACCTATAAAATTTTTGAAAAATCGCACACATGTACTTGTAAAATAACACACATAAAAATGGTGGCCATTTTTCAAAATGGCCAACTACTCCCCAAAGTCTTATTAGACAATGTGCCATGCTTAGAGTATTCACATATCAAATATGAACAAAATCTCTCCACTACTTTTCAAGTTATAGTAAAAAATGTAAAATGACAGCCATTTTTTAAAATGGCCGCCTACTATCCGAAGTGTCATGAGACAGTGTGCAAGGCTCATGAGTATTCACAAATCAAATATGAACAAAATCGCTTCACTACTTTTCAAGTTATAGTAAATTACGTTAAAATGGGGCCATTTTTAAAAATGGCCACCTTCTACCAAAAGTGTCATTAGACAGTGTGCCATGCTTTTAGTATTCACATACCAAATATAAACAAAATCGCTCCACTACTTTTCGAGTTATAGTAAAATACGTTAAAATGGCGGCCATTTTTCAAAATGGCCACCTTCTACCAAAAGTGTCTTTAGACAGTGTGCCATGCTTATAGTATTCACATACCAAATATGAACAAAATCGCGTCACTACTTTTCGAGTTATAGTAAAATATGTTAAAATGGCGGCCATTTTTCAAAAGTGTCATAAGACAGTGTGCCATGCTTATAGTATTCACATACCAAATATTAACAAAATCGCTCCACTACTTTTCGAGTTATAGTAAAAAACGTTAAAATGGCGGCCATTTTGAAAAATGGCCGCCTTCTACCAAAAGTGTCTTTAGACAGTGTGCAATGTTTATAGTATTCACATACCAAATATGAGCAAAATCGCTCCACTACTTTTCGAGTTACAGCAAAAATCGTAAAATAACGAGTAAAGGCCGCCATTTTTCAACATGGCTGCCATGTGCTTTTTTAATATCTACATTTGTAGCTTTATTAATGTCCTTTATAATTTTTTTACATTTAAAACATATTGCTATTACAGTTTTACATATTGCACCTAAATTACTGTAAAATCGGCACTAAAATGGCCGCCATTTTGAAATGAGCGAGCATTTTGAAAATCGGCTTTCGAGCAGAACTTCTACTAATAGGGTATATGTGTACAAAATATGAACAAAATCGGGCCAACGGTATTTGAGTTATTGCCCGGACGGATGGACGGACGTACTTCGTTCGATGGGATAAAAATACAAAATATGATACCAATCTAAAAGTGATAATGATGGATTATTTGCACTTTTTTCCATTTCTAAAGGTAACAGGGCAACCATATAACCCATGACACTACTCAATGTGCATTTCTTACTTTGATTCTTCCTCTTCTATGTATTTCCTAATGAGTTGTGGACTTATTGTTCTGTCTAGTTTGGTAAGGGGGAAGACCTTCACTTCATCATATAGTGAGGCAGGTTCCTGAAATAGACACAATTTCTCTAATCTTATGAAGCTTCAAGAAAACAATGCAATGCTCGCACATCCTTTCATATATGCAAATAGCTAAAATCATTTAAAATAATTTATAATAGTTAGAGGAGTGCACGGAAGGTTTCATTTGAGGTATTAACTTATACTGTATATTCCTACCTGAGTTACTTCAATATCACCACCAGTTGCATACACATCTCCTTCATGGTCTCCATATAACATAAACTTCTTAATTGTACCATAAACAACAGGTAGTGTTCTAGACAACTTGATCTGAAATTGAATAAAATATTTTCTTTATTATTATACAAATAGTGACTGCCATTGAGGGCAATAGTGTAAATTATTTCCCCGAGGGAATATCCTCTACAATGTACTATTCCCGAAGCCGCAGGCTGAGGGAATAGTACATTGTAGAGGATATTCCCAAGGGGAAATCATTTACACTATTGCTCGAAATTAGGCAGTCACTATTTGTTTTATTATATACCCTATACTGACTCTTGTCCCGTTTCCTCTGCGAAGGCCAAAAAGGCTTAGAAAGCCCCCTCCCCGGGTCCATTGTTAGCATTATAAGCTGTGACGTCATCAGATGCTCAACAGAAATTTTTGCCTTTTGAGACTCTCACTTGACAAATTGACCTTTTGCGATCAGAATTCAGGAATTTTGTTTATGGATACTGTTGTCATGTATTTCGTCTTATTGGTGTGACGTCATATAGAAATGATATTAGACATGATGGAATCACGAAATGGCGGACACTTGCAGTTTTGAGCAAAAAATATTGTCGTTTCTTTTGTGAAAACCATGGGTCGGATATTTACCAGATATGCCGATTTGACTAAGATCATGATTATTTCTATATATGTGCGAAGTTTTGGTGAAATTCATACTAAACATCGATGCCTATAAGCGCCCCCCGTATTTGTCAAAATCGGGGGGCGCTTAACCGCTATCTAAATCATGTCAGTAAGATCTTAGACTTGGTATGTGCTTAGCATGGATCTTGATTTAGTCAAATCGAACGTTTTCATGAAAAATAAATCAATAAAGCACGAAATATAGAAGATAATCCCTCAAACAAAAACATCTAGAGCTGGGTGGCCTAATTGTGACGTCACTAAAAGATAGAATCCATTCGGTGATCGCAAATCATCAATTCAATCGCGTTTAACACGCGGAATAGATTATCATAACACTTGAAATTACACAGACGAATTGAGCTTAGGGAACTTTATACACGTTGCTTATACTGTATCGTTCACGCACGTCTGTCATGGTGAACGGAGTTGATTTGCGTTTGTGCTCAGCCTCCATTTTTCTGTTTTTCGTCTGTGCAGTGATGATGCGCAGACGTTTCCAAGGGTAATAGAACTTGCAATTGTGACGTCAGCGGGCAATAGTTCAAATGTATATTCCCACTGACGTCACATTTGAGGGAATATAACTTTTCGAGGGAAATAGTAAATCTATTTCGGAACACGTGACTAGGTATTGACCAATCAGGATTAGTGTTACATATTGGGTATATAATAATCAAGAATGATGACTGAGACAGCTTGTTCTCTACCTCTAAAGTCAAGCTCAAAAAGTACCAAAAAATTATAAGTTGAACCATGGATATCACAAAATTCTAAATTGTGATTTCTTCAAATAAAGTCAATATTTACATTACGCGTTCATCAAAGAAAATTACAAGGTAAGGCCTATTTTCTATTAATTTATGGTATGAATAAATGCTTACTATTTGGCCTTTCTTGTATGTTTTCCCAGCCCATTCAATGGAACTGAACACTGACCAGGGGGACTGTTTAGAACGTGGTAAATCATGACGTGTTGTAGTTCCCCCAAAGCCCGTAAACTTGATCTGTTTGTCAGTTAGTTCATGGCATTCTTTCAGCCAGGCTATAAGCTCTTTGTCTATTGCTGTACGTTTTTCCTAGAACATAGAACAGGACACTTCTGATACTTACACAACATATGTGAACTTCAATTAATAATGACTGGGACTTTAATAAGAATGAGTTAGTGATCTTAGCTACACAACTAGATACAAAATATATTTGAATTCAATTGTACTTCTACTCCACAGAGTACTACTTACATGTCCTGATATGACGCGGCTGAACACAGTCTGTTTGTCACGAAGTCTCATCTCCAGATCTATAAATGTCAGTTTATTTGTACTGACTTGGAACTTATCGTTTGTCCATAACACTCCCGATGTTCTGTTGTAACACTCAAGAGGAATGTTGCGCTGTTTCTTTGGAGTAGCACACCAGTCAAAACTAACAAGAAAATAGTGGTTAAACATTAGCCAGAAATAGAAGTCTATAATGGTCCGACATATTGTTTGAAGTAGAGGTGTCAAGTATTAACCGGTTAACCGGTTAACCGCCGATAATGCCTTGACCGGTCTGTGTTTTTATGGGCGGTTAGTTGACCGTGTATAATTCTGTTATTTCCCGCGCTTATTTTGCATGCTAATCCGTTTGGTTTTATGGTGTCAGTTTCACGTAAGCTACTCATACATGTCATAAGTCCCATAACTCCTTACAAACATCCAATCAGCAACTTTAATCCCTGCCACATTGCTTTCCCGCGCTTACTTAGCATTTTAATCTGTTTGTTTTTCAAGCGTCAGTTTCATGTGAGCTACTCATACATGTGATAGGTCCGATAATTCCTTACAAACATCCAATCAGCAACTTTAATCCCTGCCACATTGCTTTCCCGCGCTTACTTACATAGAATAGAGTAAAGCTTGACGAACGTAAAAATTAAACGCCGATATCATTTTTCCAATTTTTTTCAACTTTCAAGATCGAAGATGAAGATTTCATTTGAAATTATCAGTTCAAATTTCCCGCCGGTTAACCGACTTTAACCGGTAAAAACCCCCGGTTAACCGGTTAATTCTCAAGCGGTTAATTGACACCACTAGTTTGAAGTCAATATAAAGAAACAAAGAAAGTCGCAAATTCCATAAGCTTAAGATTTGTAGTTCATTGTGATTCTTTAAAATATGTAATAGAGCTTAATGTAAGACATAAGTGGGAATGCTTAACAAAAATTATATTGTGTATAAATGATTAAAGGTAATAGAAAACTTACTCATCTATGAGTGTATATGGGATAAGGCGTCCATTCCAGTAACACTCAAATATTGCCCTTTTGCCTCTAGCTGGCCTTGTGTCTTGCATAGCATACATGTGGTCCTCTTCAGGATCTGGTTCAACTGTGGGAAATAAATCACAATTATTTATTCATTCTTGTCAGTTTAAAAGTAACACACATGTACATACAATGCTTCAATACAAGCTTTAGACCACTTAGCTAGAGCAATCCACATATTTTGGTTCTAAGCGAGAATTTGTCGTATATCACATCATTTCGTAGCACCCCCACTCTCATGTGCAGTAACTCCTCAGATTTTTCTGATGACTATCTGCTCATTGCCATAATAGAGACTTCTCAAAGTTAGGCAATATTCTATACTTTGTTTGGGTGAAGCTCTAAACAATACAGTTATTTTAGGTAGTCTTGAGTCTGTCATTTTCTCACTCACCTCTTGGGTCATTGGCATCTGAAGGATAGGTTTCTTTATCATAAAGAAATGGATGGTATCTTAGGACCCCTTCTACCATACCAGTGCCTTCCACTTTAGCTTTGAACTCAAAACTACTGGCTGCTGTTTTAATAAACTGGGTCTGCATATCATCATCTATATCTCTAAGGTTTATAACTTTAGGTTGACTTTGGCCTTTAAAGTACATTTTCACCTGAAATTAGTAACTCAAGTCACATCCACAATATATTCAAAATCATGATTCACTGATGGCATATGATTTTCTTTGTTTTTATTTAATTTTTTTTTATATCTCATATATCCTTTATCAGAATTTTAAAATTCACAGACCATTCTTGAGAAAGATTCTGCCATCCTCCAATTTATACAGGTTTAGGAATACAAATTTTGTTTTCGCCAACTTTTCCTAAAGATTGATAGCATTGAGCGAAATAAAACCAACAATAACTCATGATGTAGCATATTATGCTTTCTTTAAATCAAAGTTACATGACACTCACCTGTATGTCTATGTTTTTGAAAGGGCTGCTCCTTGAATCAATGCCATCCCCTGTGTTGCCATTTGGACCATGGATGTAGTAGTGATATATGTGACTGCAACATTGACATATGCGTATATAATATTCTTGATATTGAATTCAAAAAATATATTTTGAATGGACAATGGGTGCTTTAATCTTTGCATGAATGATCGTACTCTCTTAATCTCTGGTATGGCTTGTATTGTGGATGTCTCTTCCTCAGAGAATATTGAAAAGTCCAAGAAAGCTAAATAGCTCTAAACTTTAATTTGTTTAATCAGTGGTAACTTCTTCAAAGAATTTGCTTTTAAATAGTACCATGGGTACTGTGCTCACAAGTGTTGACCATTTTGAAACCCATTTGTTCAAATAATTTCAGAATAATACAATTTACTTACGCTAACTGTCTGGTCCAGCTTTTGACACCGATCTTGAGGTATGGAATATGTTCTGGGTTCACTCCATTTACAACTACTGCTGTGAAACTATCTTTGTCTTTCTCTTCAGCCACAAGCCGACGAACATTCTCATCATCTGCAGAGATGTGTGACACATCACCAGGCTTAAAATACAACATAGCATTATTGTACTCGGGGGTTGTTTCAACACACAGTGCATTCAGATTTTGTACTTTAATACACTTTGGATTTTGCTCATCTTTATATAATTTCAAAATGTATTACCCAAAGGCAGAACAAGAGTGCTTAGTGATTTTAAAAAAATCCTATTGAAAAAATAAAGTACAAGTAATAATAATGACTCACGACTCTGTTCCTTATAAAGCCTGAATATATTGATTCTCTGTTTTTCTCTTTCCTTTCAAATTCCTCTTTAGATATGTTCAATTCATGGACATCATTGGATCCTTTGGCCTTGGAGATCATCTGAAAACCAAAGGTACATTTTGATAAATATCCGGCTTTACCCATTACATCTGATGTTTGCATTAGTGTGCTGTCACATCTAGTCAATTTCAAGTCCAAAAATAAGCAGTGATCCTGGAATCTTAAGATTTTTGCATCAAATGTATGTGGATACAAAATATTTGAGGAGGTACCTCAGAACATCTTTTTATTTCAATGCATTGAGTGACCTGGATCCTTTGTTTAATTTGGTACCTCTAAACAAAAAACAACAAATAACTGTATAAAACTAGACAATGATAAATCCATACCCTGCTAGAATTGCCTATGAAGAATATGGCTTGTTTTCCTCCTACACCAAAGTATGATATATCACTGTTTAGGGATCTAGGGGCATTCTCCATACCAGGATCTGATCTCTTATCATCGTCGTCCTCTCTGTTTACTCTGTAAATGATCAACTATTAGGTAACATCAACATGGCACCTTCTTTCACCAGACAAACAGTAATAAATATCAAAATTTAATAGGAAATATTTGATAAATCAAGAAATTAAGCAACTTTTGTAAGTTTTTACAACTGTGAATACTGATATATAGCCAGCCCAAAAGTGTTTGGTATAAAAGGTTGAATAGATTGACCTTGATTTAAATGTCAAAGGATGCACATTCCCATGGTCATTTGCACAGGCTGAAGTTTCAAATACATACTTTTCATTTGTGGCAAATGAGATTGTAAGCAAAATATAAGAAACCAACTCACAATTTTCCATATTTGTCCCTCCTGAACTTTGAAAGTCTGTATATAGCCCAGTTATTCAGCTGTTTAGATGTCATCCCTTTTCCATTGTCTATCACAAATACATAATTTTTGGATGGATTGGCATCATCAAAATGCTAAAAATCAAAGTAATTTATTAGTTTATAAAGTACACGTATAATAATAGTCTCCTCAGATTCTTTACACTTTGGTAATTAAAGTGACATTTTATAAAAAATACCAGATGGTCCAAGTGGTCAATCTTAAATACCTGTCTTTACTTATATCTCAATCATGAATGGGATGCAAAATAATTTCAGATGGGTTCAAGGTATATTTGAAACTTTCAAACTGGTGGATCATTGGCTGCTTCATTATTGATGGTTTACAAATGCTCAGGTTTGATATCACATAAATTAATACATAATACATCATACCAGTCTTATCTCAATGTTTCTGCTCCCTACATTGTCCGCAGTAGCAGCAAGTGCGTTGTCTATGAGCTCAGCAAATGCATAGGCTGGAACAAGATATAGGAAGAATGCAAATCCATTTATACTCAATACTTTATACAAAAAATCATTACGTTATACAATAAATCATTCCTCTAAGACACGGGCTGAACAATAGAGTTGTAGACCTTTATACCAAGAGTTAAAGAGTATTTTTAAACTTACGTAGTGGGTTTTGACCCTCTGAGGCATAGTATTCATACATCCCTCCCTTGACAATAGTATCATAATGAGGTAAGTAGCTGACCCTCTCCTCCGCAGGTGCAGTGAGTTCCTGGTTGACATCATGTAGAACATACAGGGTGAACTCATTGTCAACTTGATCTAAAATTCAAATACAAATATCTTAATAATATCTTATCTTGTTATATTCATAAAAGGTTGTGGAGGTTTCAGTCTTGAGTTATGGGACATAAAATAATGTTTGTGTGATATGTTTTGATACAAGGCATTAGCTTGCAAAATGTCACCACCTGCCATTTGTTACAGATATCAAACGCCAAACACCAATAACCATCCTCAAAAAAATTGGAGACTATAACAGTATGTCACATAATAATAAAAATGGAACATTTCTCTATATAGACTATATATTGCTAAATTTTGACAATGAACAGTAAATGCCATTAACCTACCCCAAGTCTCATCATCATGTATTTCTTCTCTGTTGGTTGTTGCAATCACAAACTTTTCTGAAGCACCAATACCAAGGGCCTAATAAAAATATAAGGTTAATTGTAGAAGTAAGTGTTCAACGTTTACGGTGAATTAGTTGCATCCATAACATCATTTTCGTATCATACAAATACAAGGCCCTATAATACCATCATCTTCCTTGCTGTATCACAGCTAAAAAATCATGGTTAAAAAAGATCTTTCTAGCTTTAGAGATAACTGAGGATTGAAAGTGTTTAATCATAATCATTTCCAGCTCATCATTATTATATCATTATTTTGATAAACTGACAATGAAGATAATGTGCTTGTGCTTCTTAATAAACAAAACATAGCTGTTGTGGGTTCATTTGAGAGTATTTACTAAATCCTAGAATGTAAGGTTGACATGAAAAGTAGACCAATATTCGAGTTATTCATACATTCTAAAGAATTATTAACCCAATCAATTAATAATCTAGGTACACTAAATTTACCTTTTGTGCAAAAATGAAAGATGCACTCTATGTGTGAAATGAGTTATGTTTATCTGACAATAGCACATCAGTCATGAAATTTCATCAAAGGGACACTGACAGTAAGAGACAGTCCCATCCATTAGCTTATTGTATTTATTCAAGTTGACTGACAAAAGTAAAACATTGAAATATACAGTAGAACCATAGCAACCGAATGAAAATCAGTACAGAGAGACCATTCACAAGTGAATAAGCATCAAGAGCAAACACAGGTAAATTAACAGCAACATGTGACCAATTAGGCGGGGCTGCCCCACTCCTAGTGACTTTGACTCTTCGAGTTTTAAAAGTGTCACCAGTTGCGTGGTTTGAAGTGTATAACTTTTTGCAAATTTGAAAAAATATAAATATTTTGAACCTAGCGCAGTAATGCTACTTTGGAGTTGATTTTTCATAATCAAATGCCTACTGATTATGAGTGATATGTTATCCCAATGGAATCTAATATGTTCAGTGAATAATTTGCAAAGTTTGAAGATCACTTCAAAAAATCAATAGAATAATTCAATGAAAATATTATTGATTTACCCCAGCAAACCAAGTACCATTCTGAAGCCAAGCAGTGTTGCAATATACTGGTACAAGAATTAGATAAGGTAAGGAGCTCCAAGAAAAAGAAAAAGCTCCAGATTTGGAGTTTTTCAGACTTTCAACATTTTGAAATTTACTATGGTTGGTGATGCGCCTCTGGGCCAGTGACAAATCTCCGATATATAAATAAAGGCCCAGAAGACAGGTGCATTGTGTGCCTAAGCTTGGAGGAAACGTAGAATGTCACTCTACTTTTCGGTGATATTGAAGTCATGTCTGCACTTCACAGTTCAAAATCAACTTCTGTAGTAATTTGACACCACCTAATATTTTGCCTCACTGGCCTTTTATCATTTCTCAAACATATACAGTACTCTCAAAATCAGGAAATTAGGGTGGTTAGTGGGGAAATTTTGCACGAGAGTGCAACCAAAAAGCTGCCAATTCCTTGGGGAAAACACAAACCCTTGATCAACACACCCTGTGCGGACTACAGTAAACACGAACCTGTCAGAATCGTCAAACAGGAAACTAAATGCCTTTTGTAGCTACATAAGGCAAACCAGAAGACTTTATGCAAATATAAGCACAAGTGAGAAGCACAAGTGTAAGCACAGGTGAAAAACAAGCAACACAAGACCATTTAGGGGCATTATAGCGCATAAAAGGATACAAACAAAAAATAACGATATGGATACAATAAATTGTTAAGTGACATACATGAAGAGCAAAAGAAGCAACAACAACAATGACGTTGTTTGTGGAAGATGCACGGATAGTGGGAAGTCCTCCATCTAGGAGGTATATATACACCAGGTAATGCAAGTAAAAATTAAAAAAATATGAAAAAAATATGGTCACCTGTCCTCTAGATTCAATTTTTGAATGAATCGTAGCATAATGTACAGATTATTTGATATCATGCTATTCTTGAAACATTTATACAACCTCTTATGCCTATATGTGTTCAGTAATCATCAATTATCGTGAGTAAAATTTCTCCAAGCCATTGAAGGGTCCGCTCAGTAAATTGACAATTTCTATTGCGCATGTGTGAAACACTGGACGAAATGGTTTGGTAAATTTCAAGCTATTTGATTGGTCGAAAAAATCACGCGCATTTGCGTGATTTGCTTTATTCTCGCGAGATGGTGCGTGATTTGCTTTATTCTCGCGAGATACGGCGCTCCGTCCCCTTAAATTTTTATTTTGAACAACCATTATGATTTGGTGCATTATCTGACCAATAAAGCAGATTTGGAGGTATGAATATTTTTTTTATTTTTCTGTTTAGTGTTTTCTACTGGCCCTATGTGTCTCAGGATATTTGTTAACGAAAACTAGACAAATAATTTATTTTAAAAATACATATTTTTTTTATTTTGGATGGAAGCTGCGTTACCTGAGAAATAATATAAGTAATATATGGAGGACTTCCCACTATCCGTGGGAAGATGGAGTAATTTACTTCTAAAAATTACATTGTGTCCGTGACCTTTGCAGAAAGAAAAATAAAAACAAATAATTTTTCAATGTGTTTTTGTCTAATGTAGCTTTTACCTCTCTAACACGGCCTTTGAAATCATTAAAACTAAACAGGCCTCCAGTATGTATCTTTGTCTCGGGATTGTCACCACTTCTTCGATCGTAGACAAACACAAACGAGTCTTCTTCTCCATCATTTGACTCAATTTTTGATTCCCCTTTTCGCAGAGAGGACGCCATGTTGAAATTTCCCGGCTGTGTTTATTTGGCGCAAAATTTGAAAATTGTAGATCTTTGAATCCTGAATATAACGATATGTGAACTTAATTTTACTGATAAGGATGTGATTTTGAATTTCCAACATTTAACACATAATATCAACTCATAAATGAATGTATAGACTGCTGCATTAGCTTTAATTCAGGATGTTTGTTACTGTCATATTTGACCTACATTAGAAAACCAACCAGTCTCAACTTTCATCCTTTCAGACTAAAAGTTGAAACAAAAAGTTGCAGCGTAAGTATTCCAGTCAAAGTTTTCTGTGTTTTATAATTCATGTGGACTTCAATCAACACTACTTCCTACAGCGAAGTTACTAAATACTGATCCACATGAGCTCGGGCATAACAGGTACGAAAAATTTCCAGTGGACATGCGTGACACATACGGGATTCGCGTGACAAATCCGAACAAATTGCGATCGGTTTTTTCCGACGTTCGTATTTTTACCGTATCGTAAACATATTTCGAAAAAATTTCTACAGAAATATTTTTGCTTGACAATTGCAAGGTAAAATGCGTATTTTGCGTGACATTTTCTGTCACGCAAAAAAAACTGGCGTGACTTCAAATTCTTCAGCAAATGCGTGACAAATACGCAAATTGCGGGACAGTTGACAGGCCTGCAATAATGATGTATTATGTATTGTAAATAGATTGAATAACCATTCCCTTTCCTTTTATGACATTTTACACTTGCACTTGTTTTTTGATCATGTTTAGGTAAGGGGGGGGGGTGTTTTTTACGAAGCGCCCCCACGAAGTCGCTGGAGCCATTCGTTCTATGGACCGAAGTTCGACCTGTCAAGTGTCCAAAAGTCTGCCATTATTACCTAATATGACAAATTATCAAGGCAACGATCCCAACATCATATTGTGATGAAGATATGACTTTGTGTGCTGAATGTGTAATAACATTAAAAAATAAATTTGATATCTATTGGCAAAATGAATAACCAGAGGATATCGGCACAATATACTCCGGAAAACCAATATGCGGAGGATATCGTGACGATATACTCCGAAAAACCAAATATGCTTGAGTTCCTGCCAAATTGACTCTATTTGGCATGAAATTCATTATGCAATGATATTATACATTTAGTACACTCCTTGTACCCAGGTCAAAATAATAGCATACATATTCAGGGTAATCATTAGCTAATGATTATGAAACAAATAGGTAACAAATAGTATAGCAATTTGACATGCAAATGAGATAATCATTCAGGGTAATCATTAGCTAATGATTGTGAATTTAATGAAACACTGATTTCTTTCTTCGTTAATCATTCAGTAATCATTCAGTAATTATTCAGAAACAAATAGTTAATTATTCAGAAACAAATCAATAATTATTCAGAAACAAATCGGTAATTATTCAGAAAGAAACCGTTAATTATTCAGAAACAAATCGGTAATTATTCAGTAATTATTCAGGTTATCTGACTCATTTTCTTCTTTATCAAGACCCTGTTGCCTCTCCTGGAGCTGTCTTGTATTATTCTGACTATTACATGCTCATATAGAGGTGACATATACTCCAAATTAATTTATATTTATCTGCTCAGAAACCTAGGGCTAAAATGAGTGTTTGTGCCTAATCATGTATGGGGAACAACCCAAAATTGATCAAATTCAAAAAAAATATCTTGAATTCAAATTCATTAGAATAGTAGAGATAAATATGAATAAGTTTCAATCTAAACATGTTCTACATACCTTTATGATTATGTTGATCAAGTTTCAAGATAGTCTAGCCACCCTTCAGGTTGTTTATGCTCACTTTTATTAGACAAATAATTCTCTCACATCTTAACCAAATTTTAACGTCTGCCAATGTGGGGTTTCTCATTCTAAATCATGGACTTTTAGGTAATCATTCAGAAACAAATCGTTAATCACTCAGTAACAATTCGGAATAAAGAATTCCAAGTTAATCATTCAGAAACAAATCTTTAATTATTCAGTAACTATTCAGATTATTAATCATTCAGAAACAATTGAGTTAATTATTCAGAAACTAATCAGACGTTGCTTTTAAATTCTTCAGGTTTTCTGATTAATTCCTGAAGGATTCAATAATCATTAGCTAATGATTATGAAATGATTTTTGTGTGGGTAAGTGTAGAATAATAAGAACATCCTATGATTTTTTTCAGAATATCATTTTAATCTACTCGGTGACATCTGAGACTAACATAAAATTTATGATGGCCTCAGGTGACATTGATACATGCACTCGTTCGCTTTGCTCTCTCGCGCAGATATCAATATCAACTCGTAGATAAAAATGATATTCCTCAAAATCATAGGATATCCTATAATTATCCTACACTTAGTGTACTAAATGTATAATAACATTAAAAAAAAAAAGTAGCCGAGCGATTTTGTTCATATTTGGTATGTGAATACTATAAGCATGGCACACTGTCCTATGACACTTTTGGTAGAAGGCGGCCATTTTGAAAAAAATTTTGAAAAATGGCCGCCATTTTAACATATTTAACTATAACTCAAAAAGTAGTGGAGCGATTTTGTTCATATTTGGTATGTGAATACTATAAGCATGGCACACTGTCCTATGACACTTTTGGTAGAAGGCGGCCATTTTGAAAAAATTTTTGAAAAATGGCCGCCATTTTAACATATTTTACTATAACTCGAAAAGTAGTGGAGCGATTTTGTTCATATTTGGTATGTGAATACTATAAGCATGGCACACTGTCCTATGACACTTTTGGTAGAAGGTGGCCATTTTGAAAAATGGCCGCCATTTTAACGTATTTCACTATAACTCGAAAAGTAGGGAAGCAATTTTGTTCATATTTGGTATGTGAATACTATAAGCATGGCACACTGTCCTATGACACTTTTGGTAGAAGGCAGCCATTTTGAAAAAATTTTGAAAAATGGCCGCCATTTTAACGTATTTTACAATAACTCGGAAAGTAGTGAAGCAATTTTGTTCATATTTGGTATGTGAATACTATAAGCATGTCACATTGTCTAATGACACTTTTGGTAGAAGGTGGCCATTTTTCAAAATGGCTGCCATTTTAACGTATTTTACTATAACTCGAAAAGTAGTTCAGCGATTTTGTTCATATTTGGTATGTTTCATATCTTATATGTGAATACTATAAGCTTGGCACACTGTCTAATGACACTTTGGGTAGTAGGCGGCCATTTTGAAAAATGACCACCATTTTTACGTTTTTACTATAACTTGAAAAGTAGTTCAGCGATTTTGTTCATATTTGATATGTGAATACTCACGAGCCTTGCACACTGTCTCATGACACTTCGGATAGTAGGCGGCCATTTTAAAAAATGGCTGTCATTTTTACATTTTTTACTTATTTCACAAGTACATGTGTGCGATTTTTCAAAAATTTTATAGGTGGCTACTAAAAGCATATTATTTCTTCTGATGACAACTTGGCTAACCATTTTGAAAATGGTGGCCTTTCTGGTGTGTTGTTTTATGATATTTGCTATATATTTTGTTTGTAAAAATGCCAGCCATTTCTGTTCGATGTGATTCGCTACGCTTTGGCGTTGCCGTTGTTCTGGTTATTATTGTTTGTACCTCAGTTCAAGTACTTGATTCTTATTGGTCAAAGAATGGTTATAATAGTTTGGATATTGGTGATACATTGTATTGCTGATAAATACTTCAAATGAATCAGAGAAATATTCATGGGAAATGATGAATACTGTTATTATGGAATTAGGAGAAAGTTAGCGCTACTTTATATTTTTTCTGATGTAGGTTAATATAATTATAGACTTCTACATGGGTGAAAAAATATTCCCCTTTATTGTTAAACTTATACCATGTCAAACTCTGGAGAGGTCATTAAGAAGTCAAACACTGTATATTCACTGGCATGTAGCGGCCCTGATATCGATAAATTCTACACGCAATATAACCCGATTTTAGATGCTTGGTTAAAACTTTACACGAAAAAGCCTCGATATCCGGGCATTTACTCTTACACTGAACTGAAAATAGCATCGTCTAAACGTGTATGTCTTGGCTTCCGGGTAAGTTTATCAACATTTATACTCAATTGAAAGAGCAGTCGTGCTTATATCGTGTACCAGTTTGATTGTTTTATATGTGTGTGTATTTATAATATGATAGCCTAGTAATACCGTGTCGTTAGAACAAGTGCTAGATATCGAACTGATGACCTGAAATTAGATTATTGGACTGATCGCGCATCTGATATTAGATGATTAATTTGCATTGAATCTGATATTAGCTTGCAACCCAATACCACAGTAAATACCATGACTTTACATTAGAATGATAACACGGCCTCATATTCTAATTTATTATACGTCCATTGCAGGCCAAAAATGTTTCAATGTGGATATTGTAATGCACACGAGAATACATTCGATTCGTATATATTGATCATACATCAATTGAACATGGAGATTTTCCTGTACACTTTTCCCAAATATGTGGAATAGACTAGATGCGAGTAGAAATTATCTTGATTTATCCTATGCCAAGTAGGGTTTTAGGGAGATAAATTGGTAAGATATATCCCGTATCCTGATTTTGAGGTTTCCATATCAAGAACCTCCATATCTCCCGTCATATCTCCCGCTTCGGTGCATATCTTCCCCCTTCGGGGCGTATCTTCCCGCTTCCAAAAAAAGTGGAAATGCAATAAAATGACTTTGCATATGAATGATTTGTTTATTTTTTACACCTTGTACTACTGAAAACTCTACTTGGTATAGGATAAAGCAGTTATGTACGGTCGGTTTGGATATTGGGTTCATCCCTCGTGAGATATGCACATCTACTTTCTGTCCCTACGGTCCCTCAGGTAGATATGCATATCTCCCTCTGGAAAAACCTCATATCCAAAAACCCCCAGTACATAACCCTTATTTATCCCATGGTTACAAGGATATAGATCGAATATCACGTGAAGATATAATTGATAC